GTTGCGACGGTTCACATAATTAATTGGGTTAGTAAAATGCATTGAAATCCACCCTGTTATCTCGTTATAAGCAGAATAAACAAGCTCTGGATCATAATGGATTGCAGCTATTCTTATATAGATACCTATCATGATACCCTATCATGATCGGTATAAAATGTTTCTGCATATGGCCAACCTATCAAACCTATCAAACGTATCATATGATACCCCTCAAAATAGCAATTTTATCGGTTTTATACGTTCTTGCATACCAGCCATTGCCTTTAGCTCCATGCACATGCCGCCTGTTTGGCAAACTTGTAAAAGTTGAATCGCAGTGGTGAGCCACACTTGGTCCTAGGAAACATTTCTGACTGGTTTCAAATTAAAGAAATGATTGCCAAAAAAAACCATGGCAGAAATTGCGACTGCAGAAAATCCTCCCTCGTGTTAAGTATAGAACGCTCAAGTTGATATCTAATACGAAATCACATTTGGTTGATTGAAATAAACCTTGCACAAGTAATACAGTATCCGACTCACGTCAGTTCGGTGGTTGGCCAGAATGCTTCGTTGAAGGCGGATGATATTTGGGCACTGGAGTTCGCCTCTGAGCACTCCACGATTACGTGCTGGAATGGTTTAATGTGGGAGCACTCACAAGGAAGAATTTCGTTGGGATTGGGGCATGGGTACTGTCCAGATACGCGGGATGAAACAGAGAATAGGAAAAAAAGGGTGGAGAGGAAGGTAGTGGATGACTGCATGGTCAAATTGAAGCGGGATTGAGAATGTGCCGATTCGAATACCCAGGACTCATTTTATAGTTTGCCATCTGCTAATTCTCGGTCATTCCGGAACCAACAAGTGGGGCAGGGGGAATAACCTTTCTCCGACTTTCAAAAGCATTTTAGTCATGTGATCAGGTGGGAATACTTTCCGCAGTCGTCCATCAGGCGGATTTAGGGCGGAAGCAGTTTAGTACCTTATGCCCTCTTCACTTTGAGATGCTGATACCAGACAGAGAATAAAACATTCTTAGAACAATTCTCCCAGATGATGTTCCTATTTCAAAAATAATGTTGCTGAACGGCGAAAGTGGTTTTCATGTCATGGGCTAGGAAGATGATGTGACCAGTAAACAATATTTTCCCCCTCACCAGGCTAATATCTGTGCGTCTTGTAGGTGCATGATGCTAAAGATGGGATTAATTCCGTAATGATGATCTCTGTTGCCATTGAGCTTGGCCAAATGAATTCTCAAATCAGATCCCATGGGTATTTCACGCATAAAATACATTTCGAAATTACCTTTTCATTTTAATGACTTTGAAATTGCACAACGAACCAATTAAAAGGAAAAATTAAGTTTTTTAGGCTTTTTTAAATGTACAATGTGAGTCAAAAGTCACTGAACGACTTTGAACGACCATAACTCGGCAAGGAAGACATTCAGTTGAAAACAGTTATTTGCATAGGAAAGATCGTGTAGTAATTAACAAATTTGCAACTTTCAGAAAAGTATAATCTATTTATTTGGCGTAAAAACGACTGCAATTACTGGCCATGATATTTGAGTACCATCAAGCTCGATCACTCAAGCTGTCACCGAGAGGCAACCTCTTGCGATCTTCTCAGTGATGCTTTGCTTCGGTTCCTTGATCGCGCGCGAACTTTCGGCATATACCTGGTCTTTAAATGAAACCCCGCAGTCAGAAGTGGAATGGAGTCAGGTCCGGGGACCTAGGAGGCCACTCCATAGGCCCGATCCGGCCTATCCCTATTCAAAGCAAAACTACGCTTCACTTCAGAAAGATTTCCTTCGCAGATAGAGAAGAAATAAACGATGGCGACGCGTTTCTCCAAAGATAGTTCATCGGCATTATCAGTAAACCATTTGGGGCAACAAAAATAAACAGAAAATAACCGCGAATGAGAATGAAAATGTTGCATTTCGTTTTGTGCAGGCTCATCCGATATCTTATTAGTACATCATGCAAATTACCAAGTTGTTTCGTCAATTAACGCACGCTCTTTCATAAACAAAAAACCGCTTGCAGTTTAATGCCTTCTTTGATGAGTTATAGCTGTTAGAAGCCGTTCAGTGAATTTTGACTCACCCTGTGTTCACGGATAAATGTTTCATTTCGAACTTTTGGAACTTACTGTATTATCATAATGATAATGCTGATTATCATCTGTATCATAATGCTGAACCTACAGTACATACCTGAGATCTATACAATGGGTCAGCATATTGGACCTTCGTCATTTTAAACTTGTGGTCATTTTAAACATGTTTGCATCTAAGAGATTTCGTAGTATTTCCCGCGCCTAAATGCAATGATTTTCCGTGTATAACTTATCGTCATGAAATTAGGCTCCAGTGACGTTTTATTCATTAAATCTAGAATCTCTGACGCCAGGTAGATAGGACATGATCTCATTCACATTTCCCCCTTTGATCCCACCTGATGTTCGGATTTGGACCGTGTTTACTCTTGTTCAAGTTACTTGTACGTTTCTGAAGATATGAGGAATATCATCCGACAGTATGAGTGACGGGGAAAGAGGTGAAAGCAACAAAACCCATGAGAGAGAGTTTGTGAAATGATGCTGTGGATGGAGCCGATTAAAATTGCTTATGGTATGACAAATGGAGAAAGCAGTTTGGAAATTTGGAAATACTGGGTGGCCAATTCCACTTCTTGAAGTCGACCTTCGGGATAAAACGCTGGATAAGTTGTCTTCGAAAATACGTCTCCCTTGCAGGAGAGACGCAATTTCCGAACAAGGAAATTCTGCAATATCAACGGAATAATATCAGGGGATATTTCGCCTGAAAATTCATTGCTAAGTCCCGGAAATAGGGCATGCAGTAAATTTTTAATCATTCTTCTTCACTTTCATTTGCTCCCCAATCCAGGTGGTCAAATCCTTTTCGTCCCCAGAGGGTCAATGGAAATGGAAATCACCATGTGGATCAAATTAGTCAAATCTGTTATGCTGAAATGGAATGGCTTCCAACGTCCGTGAGGCGGTTGGGAACAACTCCTGACTTCCTAGACGTCTTCCTGAGGCGCAGCTATGGGGCAGTGGGATCGTTTCTTTTCTTGTCCATGCCATGCCAGTAAGAACTTCAGTTTGAGGTATGCATGTACAAAATTCTTTCGCATCTTGGTCGGGGTGATTATTCCAGCAGTTTTCCCTCCTGTAGTCCGAGAAATAAGTGACAGAATTTTAATTGTTCACTTTCTGTCAAGCGGCTGTCACGCGTCAGCGTCCGGTGAATTTAACGCCCTGCCTCACCATCTGGTGCCTCACAGCGGTATGGACCCTGTTTGAACAGGTGTTTCCAAAATGATATTTGTTTTGTCGAGTATCGGAAAGAGGAGAGGCACCACCCCTTACTTCCCTTCTAAATTTCCCTCACACGTCAAGCCCCATATCATTTTCCTCGGTGAGCATGACCCGCTCTATTTGCGATTTGAGCAGGTGCACCGGATCTAATTACCTGTTAATTCCACGTTTCCGCTCCAAGATTGTGCTGCGATATTATACCAGATTGCCATGGTGAATATATGAATAACGCATGTTGAAAAGGTATTGTCTCATATTTTCCGTGCTCAGGTAAATAACAATTTTTTCTAGAGGGGGAGGGGGGACGGGAGAAAGAGAGAGGAACTTTCATATGCAGACTTCTTGTGCTTTTTTATTTAAAGAAATGAGATTAAAGCCAGTCTGGCTTTAATCTCATTTCTTTAAGGTCAAATCTCTAAGCTCAAATTTCTAAGGTCAAAAAATGATCTCAGATCATTTTTTGACCTTAGAAATGGTCTGACATCATTGCAACACACAATTGTTTGGCTCTCATCTGGTACCTTACAGAATCTAACCGTGTCATATTTCTTTCATTTAAAAGTACAATACATGCATCATAACCATTCATGCGTAAATACAAGTTTGAATGACTGAAAACCTGTCACGAGGATGGAAAAATTGACATTTGGTTTTACTCCTTGAAAATTTTCGTATGAAATAAATTTTACATCACTGGTATTCATCGAGCTGATCTGAACCATACTAGGTTCGATCGCCGAGTTTCCTTTGTCTTGGTTTCCCAGCCCTTTTACGGTGATCTGGACATCGCTTGGAACAATTGGAATACGGTACCGGAAACATGTATGTATATTTATTTTAAAAAATTAGAAAGCTTCCTTCAGCTTTTCACGTGGACTTTTCGAAGTGTCTTGCCATTAGACAAAACAATAACAGAGGATTCATGACATGAAGTTTAATATATTGCATATGAGAATTATATATTTATTTGTATTTCTTTTCTTGTCATTCAAGCCCAGGAACGGAAATGTTGTATTTTCGAGATGGAGCCAAGTCTTTGCTACTCATATGTATTTTTTTTCAGACTACTTTGTCCATAACATAACGTCGCATGGCTGCGATTTCTGTGGCTCGAATGTCTACTTTCATAGAATCCAAAACATCACAAAAACGGATGAAAAGGGATGCATCCCTCTCACGTGGCGATACGCATCGATGCCATCTCCAAAAAGAAACCATGCCCCTCGATCTTCGAAATCCTCGAGCTTGAAAAGGCGAATGGACACCCATCTGAATGCGATGCATATAAATCGCATGATCCGCATGGTCGCAATATTCATTGTGAAACACATTCATGAAAAACTTTATCATAGTCCATTGGTTGGTTTGTGGGTATGGGATGTGGGACTTGTCAGCTAGTGCCAAGGGAATATGAGAAAATGACGCACTCATTGGGTCAAATGATAATATATATTACAAAAACTTAGAACAAACGTTCTGAGCTGATATAAAGAGAATAAAGGATGCACAGCAAATGAAAATAAAAACATTTCATCCCAGTCAAGAAGGAAAAGGAAAAAGAGACGAGGACTTAAGAACCAATTGCTATGACCATGGGTATCCAATGGAAACGAATTTTATTTATGCATGTACCAGGTATATGCATGCGTTATACTGGGTACCGCGGATAGGGAAGAGGGGGGGGGGGTAAAGGACGTTTGAAGAAAGGGGAATTCCTTTGAAGTATGTTTTCATTACATTTGAATGCTGAAATGTCATCCTTAATCTTTACGAAAATTGCGGATGAAACGGAGCTTTGAATTGAAGCGTTCAGATATGACACCGAAAGCTCTGATCACGCTTTGATCCCAGTCCAGCACTTCAAGGCTTGTAGTGATGGAAGAAAGCAAGAGTCGAAAGTCTTCCAACAGGTTGTAGGCCTCACCAGCCCTTATCTTGTTTTCTTTCTCGATGCACTTATAGATACCGTGCCGATAGAAGTCCCAGGCGTAGCCATTGAACAGCTGCCTTGGTTTCGTGAGTGGCAGCACTTCTATCGGCGTGAAAGCCTGGAAGCAAATATATGTACACATCATTGGCCACGAAAAATCAATTGAAATTACCTATGACATAGAACAACGATGCACATTTTTATTAATTTCAGCCTGGACTCTCTGCTGCAGATGTACCTTTGTTCTTAAGATTCTAGAAACTCCAGCAGAAACCAAGAATATAAAAAACTGCAAACCTCAATTCTGATATCAGGGATAACGTATCGATTGGGGATGAGGTCTTCGTCCTTGACGCCACTGAGAGAGGAAAAACGAGAAATGGTCTTCACTCTAAGAGCTGATCCCTTCAACTCCATCTCCAAGCTGCCTTCTGGAACATCACATCGTCACCAAAATATTTTTAGTGCAATCACAGCATGCCACACGAGTAGAGCCTATTTCCTTTCGTAAAACTCTGCCAGTAACATATTCTATTTTATTTTGTTCTTCTCTGAGCATTCGGAGGAACGTGATGGAGCATGTCTCTTGATCTCTCAACGGAATTTTGTTTCTGGAAATTTGAAACTCTGCGTTGCGGGTTGCGGAGAAAATATAATTTCATATTCTGCAGGTGCGAATTTTAAGTTTTTCTTTTAATCCCTTCCCCACCAGAAAGGTTCGGCAGTGAGAGTCCAATTAACAAATGTTATAACATAATAATAGCAAGATACATGATCTTTCCGTGGTTTGTGATTGACGAATTTGCTGTAAAAATTAAATTAGATGTTATTCATTCGGAGCTCATCATGCTTATCTCCCCACTGTTCATCCCTGTTCTGCTTTCACATCGGTGCCTGAGTGCATTGCTTTATATCGGCGAAATATAATTATGCGCTAGGTTCATGTAATGAGGCGAAATTAATGAGGACGTCCAACATGAATTCTAATTTCGAATGATGACTGTCCTGATTTTCCCGTCAAGATTGTGACACTCCAGCAAGTCCTAACGTCACGTGGCTTCGCCGAGATTTTCAGCAAACCCCGAGATACAGGATGTACAATGTCTTTCACTTGAGTTAAATCATATTTTGCCTAATGCGACACCTCGTACTTGGGATATTCCTCATGCATGTGTGTCCACTTTCCCCTTTGCTTAGATTAATGCTCAAGAGTTTGGCTAAGGCACATCCGAGATTTTACTGGGTAACTGCCGGAGAATGATATGACCTTTTGGGACAAACCTCGCTATACTTCATAGGAGACTCGAGAATTCCTCACCGGGTGGAGCGGACGATGTCGCATTGACTGGAAACTCTATCCCGGACAGGTGAAGTCTGCATTCTTCTCCCTGTCGCTTGTGCACGTCTCTCAAGCAGAATGCCAAGGAGAATAGAAACGTTTCTCTGACCATGGTCTCATACCTCTTCATGACCTATAGTATTACAATATCCAATCTGATAATCCCTATTTACCAGTTACATTAGCACTTCATGAAATAGAGGTTTCCCATGGACACACGTTTATGGGAAACTTGTCTTTCAGCCCTTTTCCTATTCCTTAAGCTAGCAATACTGTTTATTATGTGAATAGAAATGCTTATTTGTTTCTCAGTTGGTGTCTATTTACTTCTGTTTAATATTCGTAAGTTGTCCTCTCGACCGTCTGCTCTGATTAAAAGTTATTGTCATCAAATCGCTGGTGAAATCATGTAAACTTTGATGGAATGATTTACTTTGGTTTCACACGCAATCGCGATTTGACTTTGCCTACTAAAGGAATGACGTCTATTTGAACCTATGAGTGGGTGCCTTACATGCTTCACTTTGGGATTCAGTTTAGGAAGAAAAACGTGGGAGTTCCATTTCTCCAGTTTCCTTCTTTCCCGGATGTACAATTGCTGGAATTCCGGAATGCCGACGTTCGTGAAGAGGTAGCAAAGGAGTACCACGAGGTCCTCTAACATCTCCTCTTCAAACTCCTCGTTCTGTAAGGAAGTACAAATACGAGTTTAGAACCTCTGTTAGAAGCTTGATGGCTCTCTGTAAACATTTAATAATTTTTGCACGAGACATTTCCATTGCAGGAAGAGTAAATTTTGAGTAAATTTTCTGCATTGGGAGTACCTTCCTGCTATTATGAACGATGTCGTCAATTATTCCTTCGTCAAGTAGCACATTGAAGATGTAGACTCCTGGTTCATGGTACTGCAAATGCATTGCCAGCTGAGAATGGTCGCTGACATCTCCCATCACATTTATGTACTCCTGCATGGGTTTGTACCGGAGAAAAAGCGAAATCAACTCATGTGCTCGTCACATAGTCTTACTACATGGTATGAGCGAAGTTCACAGTTGCATGAGGCACATTCTATAGAGGATACAACGATTACGGATATTGATGCAATGAAACCTGTTCAATCAGGAAGAAGAGGCTATAGATGAAGAAGTATGCCGTATGTTCTTTCCAGGCGTTTGCATTGAGTCCCCCCAAGGACAAGGACAAGAATGACCGGTGCCTATGAGAATAAAACAATTAAAAACCCTTGCTTTCAGGATAAGGCATTGAGAGTTGCAGGTGCTCCAAAGATTGGCAGTGAAACCAAGTAAACAACCAATCGTTTTCAGAAATGTAAGGACATGTATCCTTTACAGCTCCTTATATTAATAGCTGCTGATGCGAAGAGAGAGAATAGTTTAGTCCTATATTCCCTAATATATGTATGATATTTCTTAAATTTTAATTGCTGAAAGGACAGTAAATTAGTTAAGTGTAATGTATTCTTTTAATTTGCTAAACAGTTTTGCAAACCTCTACCATAGCAGTATAGAACTCATGCCAGGTGGTAAAATAGGGAAGAAGTGTTGGATCATATGAGGGGTGTTTAGAATGTTCTGGGAATTTTGTCCTATCACTGCACAGCTGATCAAAACTTACCGTAAAGACACATGCTTAGGCTTATTATAAACACGACTGCACAACATTATTCACTTGGCTTGCGTCAGTAAGAAGTTATCATTGTTCGCGTAAGGTACACTTTGTCAGTCAAGGAAGGCGTGGTAAATTCTGAAATAGCTATCAGTTTCTTTAAATGGAAGGAAGGTGTTACGACTCCTGCAATTATTCAACGTTTGAAAGCTATTTTTTGTGAATCTTCTGAATCTAAAAGTACCGTCTATTGCTGGATTGATCGCTTCAATAATGGAAGAAGGAGAATGACGATGACCAAACGACCAAACACGACCAAACACTGCTGTGCAGTGCAGTGCAGTAGTCGACGAAACACTGCTGTTACTGAAGAAAATGTTGTTGCTGTGGAGAACTGTTAATGGAAGATAGACAAATCACCATTCGCGAGATAGCAGCAAGTGCATGCATCAGCTCCAGAAAAGTTCATGGAATTTTACGTGATTGTCTTGGAGTGAGCAAGGTTTATTCACGATGGGTACCGTGGCTTTTGGGGCCAGAACAGAAACTCAATCGTGTGGCGGTTTGTTCGGAGCTGTTGCCTCTACAGGAACAATATGGGGATAGTTTTTGGCAACAAGTCATCACGACAGATGAGACCTGGATACCTTACTTTAATCCACAAATAACAATTCAGTCCTTGGAATGGCGGCGACCTTCTGATGGCCCTCCGGTTAAAGCAGCGGTTCCCGAACTTTTTTTGGTCACGTCTCAAAATTCAACATCCAAACCCTGGGTTCCTACCGTGGGTTTAGGAATCCCTGGCTTAAAGCAATAACAATGCCATCATTTGGTAAGGTTATGATAACGGTGTTTTTGGCTTGTCAGGGAATAATCATGATTGATTACCTAAAAGCAGTTCCACAATAAATGCACAATATTACTCTCATTTCCTGAAAGGACCACTGCGTGAGGTACTCAATAAAAAACGGCCAGGAAAGCTCCATTCCCGTATATTACTGCAGGAGGACAATGCGAGGCGACACAATATTCGTCTTACGAAGACCGTTTTGTCAGATCTGCACTGGAAATTGCTGACACACCCGCCCTATTCTCCAGACCTGGCTCCCAGTGACAATCATCTGTTTGGGGAAATGAAGAAACCCCTTCAAGGAATCCTTTTTGAATCTCTGTCTAAAGTTGCAGCAGCGATAAATGAGTGGATAAAACGTACTCCACAGAAGTTCTTTGAAGATGGACTAAAAAAATAGTTACTCGAGGGCACAAATAGATGCAGCAAAATGGAGATCATGTTGAAAAATTGCACTGTAACATCGAAAAAAGTTAGCCTAATAAAAAATGAACAAAAAAATTCCCATAAATTGGTAAACATCCCTCGTATAAGAAAATTGCACATTTATATGCCAATTCAATAAGTGGTGCCACATGTTTTAGGGAAGAAATGTTTTTTTCGTGTAAGAAATGTCAGCGGGTGTGTCAGCAAGAACAGTGGAAAAACGAAAGAGATAGAGACTAGGCTAAATATGAATTTTAAAAGAAAAACATAATGACAAGGGTTTATTTACGCAAGATATGCAAGCTTCTTCTTTCATTCTCTTTTCAAAGAGGATATCCAATGTGATTTACGGAATTTTTAAAACCCTCTTTAGGAGCCGGGAACTGAAATTTTGTTGCAACAATTGAATTGGTTGTAATAGGTCTTACCTTAACAAAAGTGCTTTGTTATCGTCATCTCTGACTGCACTTGAACTTGCAAGAAGCCGAAGGATGAGAGAAATCGACAGATGGAAGTTACCCCTGAGCATCGGGAGGTCACCAAGGAGGAAGGACTTTATCCTCCCCAGGGACACTCCGGTGAAGACGACATTCCCCACAAAGTCGAATCCCCGCCTTCCGGCTCGCCCAGACATTTGGCGGAAGCGCTGCACGTTCATGTAAGGGGAGTCGCCGGCAATGATGACACTCTTGCAGGGCATGTGGATGCCCAGGGCAAGCGTTCCCGTCGCGGCGACGTACTGAAGGAATTTCTTCCGAAACAGCATCTCGACCGTAGATCGCATCTTGTTGTCGATGCCGGCATGGTGAAAGCCGACACCTCGAATAAGCATGGCCATGAAGTTTTTCCTTTCGTCTTGATTTGGCGCTTGATTTTGATTGATTTTGGAATCGTTCGGGTTTCCGGTTTGAGATTGATTCCGTTCATTCAGGCGCCATGCTTCAGCCCTTACAGGTTTCGGCTGCATCAACCTCTGCGACAGAAACTCGAACTCCTCCTCAGAGACATTCTCATAAGCAGCCAGGGTCCAATCTGAAGAGGGCTTGTTTTCAATGAAAAAATTTGGAACTCCCCTCTGGTTCAGGTTGACTCTTGATTCGGCCTGTAAATCTCTCACCTTGCCTTTCATGGTCATGGATCGATCTCTTTTTCTCTCTCCGCGGTGATTCTCCTTTGGTTTTTTAGGTGTTTTTACCTGAGGTTCTTTCGGTACTTGAGCGCGCGACTCCCCCTCACTGAAGTACTTCGCGATATGACGTGCGAACGACTCAACGGTATTTCTATTATCAATGAAACTTAAAGCTGGAAGGCCATCGATTTCCTGGAGATGAAATACTAATGACAATTGAGTCTGTATTGGATTCACAGTTTCATCACGGCTCCGAACGATGCGTAAGTCTTGATTAAGACTTCGCAATGCTTTGTCTACGTCAGCGGGATGCTGGATCGCAAGTTCTTCGAGTCTCTTCAGCAGCAGCTGCCCGTACTCCTTCACTTCCGTGCGTGTCGGGAATGCTTGAGCTTTGAATTTGTCTTCGGGATCAACTTCGTCCGTTGATCCCGTGGGAAGGTGTTTCTTCAGTGCATCAAACAGTGCAAGGATTTGCTTAGGTGATGGGACAAGATGCAGTGGTATCCCAGACCTCCGAATTTCTTCTGAAGTCATAAGTCCTATAGGATTTATAGGCAAAAGCATTGGTTGATTCTCATTAGAAATGACAAACAAAAACGGCTCAAGGTCTGCATTCCTCTCATCGTGAACAATCAGCTGCACTTGATATGCTTTCGGTCCCTGTCGCCTTTTATTCAACTTCTTGTCGATTTCCGATTTAACATTTTCGATGGTTTGCATCCACTCGTGGAAGGCCTTGTAGTTCTTAACAGTGGCAGAGAGTGCCAGTATAGGGCAAGGCATGAGAAGTAGAAGTTGTTCCCAAACTTCCCCACTTCCTTCCTCTCCTAAGCAATGGATTTCGTCCATGATCACGTATTTGAGCTTGGAAACCCATTCTTGCATCTGTGGAGACAACATGAGGATCTCGAATGTCTGCGGCACCAAAACTAAAATCTGGGAGTTGAGCACGTTCTCTCGATAGTCCCTGGTGAAGACCCCGAGAACAGCCTTCCCAGCGGGCATCACCTTTTGATGGAATCTGGCGTACACCGTCGCTGCGACCTGATTCACAAGAGCTTTTGTCGGCGCAACGTACACGACAACGCTCTCGTTATCCATCTGGAGGACCTTGCGCATGCAGTAGTAGGATGCATAGGTCTTACCCGAAGAGGTGGGGGCAACGATGAGCATTGACTGGTTTTTGTCGATCGCATCGAACATCTGTCTTTGCCACGTGTCTGGAATGAAATTTTCGATTCGGGGATCGGGATCGGTTCTGTACTCACGCTTCAAATGTGGCCCCATGTGGAGCATTTGGAAACGGATGCTCGAATGCTTCTTGTTCATTTTGACATGACCAGAAGAAGGGTTCACTTTCTGCAATATATCTGGAAAACGAATCTTTCTAAGAAATTCTGCAATTTTTTCCAAGTCCCTTGGTTTGAAAATATCCCGGTATTCCTGTAGGAGTTTGCGTATATCCAGGAAAATCTCTACTGTTGAGGAAACATCACGTTTTCTCCATAGCTCAATAGAGGCATGAACCCTCAAGATGAGAAGATCCTTTTGAATTTCCGCAGAATTGAACTGTTTCATGCTCACAGTGACTTCTGACTTCACCGTCTCGAAATGACATTGTTTCAATTCCGCTTTCCATGCCTCTTTCGCTACGGAAAATTTCTGAAGTTCGCGTCGGTCTTGCTCTTCCTTCTTTTTTCTTATGTTCTCACTCTTGATTAATTCTGCTTTCTTGCTTTCGCCAGTTTTCTTATGTTTCTTGGTCTGTTCGACGACGGCAATTTGTTCGGAGACATCGCGACCCTCTAGTGAGTCTCCGTAGAAGCGCATGTATCTTGCAAGCTTCTGTTTCCGCGTGTTTTCTCTCTGTTGTTCCCAGGAGTTCTTTTGTTTTCCTGCGTTCCGAATGGCCGTTTCTTTCTCGGTCAGAATTTCTGTCAAAACATGGTAGTGATATTTGTTTAGTGACTCAGATGGCATCTCCAAGTCACAACGTGAAACTTTTTTTGAGAATGACAGGTTCATCAGATCTCCAGGCAGCGGTGCCTCGAAATCCGGGAGGAACTTCTGCACCAGCGGCAGAGACTTGGAAATGCATTCTGCCTGGGCGGAAAAGAAGGACGTGTCTTCCCTCACTTCTAGTTTCTTGCCCTCTATTTCCTTCGCGGGGACCACCGACAGAGGGCCAGCCTTTGTTAAGCATCTCGAGAGTTCTATGTAAAGGTCGTGAACTGGCTGCGTGACTGTCACGGTTTCCCTTTTCCTTGCCAAAGAAAGTACCTTGAGAAACATTCTTCCGTCCATCAAATCTGAGATTTTTGTGAAATCAATATTTTCCCTTTTTCTAAGCATTTCAATCATTCTTGCCATTTCCAATTGGATTGTAGATAGAAAAGCCAGCACTTCTGATGGCGACTTTGCCAGTGTAGCTACTTGAGCCCTGTCTTCCAGTGGGATTCTCATGATTAATGCAAGGTGTAGAAGAAATACTGCTGCAAATTTCCGAAACTTCCCATTCAGTAGATTCATGTTAGAAATCGCTAAGGTTGTGCATAGAAACCTGGCATCTTTACTTACAGCAAGTTCGACTTCTGAAATAGCCTTGAGAGAATCTTTTCCCACTGCAGTGAGAGATTTTGTCTCATCCATTTCCAGAATTTCGTAAATACAATCATCACTGATATTCTCACAAATCAATACGTATGAGAAGATGCTGTTGTTCCGAAATGCTATTGAATCCAACAGGAAAATTCTCCTATTCTTTGATGCATATGCGATTAGGTTTACCTTGAGGCAATATGTAATTCCTGATGGAATGGAGGTCCGTTTCCTTTTTCTAACCCCTTCTCCAGTGTGGCACAGCATTGACGCGTTCGTGAAGTTCTGGAATCCGGCATGGCAACTGGAGGGAAATGAATGAACACGACAGGGTGAGTTCTTCTCGAGGTGTGTGTGAAGGATCTGTCGTGCCAACAGCAGAGTCGGATTGTCATTCCACAATCGCAGCATGTTTTCGAAGAAGATGATAACAAGCACTGCCCCTCTTTCGAGGAGCATTCCCAGAAACCTCTCGGCTGCATACACCAGATGCAAGTATTGCCCTCCGTGACGGACGTCCACGGATGAGTTGAAGATGATGAAAACCAGCAAAGAATCTCCGTCGAGGAGAAATGTGTTCGACGCGGAGAATTCATCAGCAATGTTTTTCCGCTCTCCTGATTCGACCAGTTTTTGTACCAAGGCCTCGATGCTCAACTCTGAAACAACAATTTTTCAAGTTCATGTTATTATTTCAGCAATTGAGCGGTAATGAATAGCGTGCTCTTTTGGGCTTTCGTGCTTCCCGCTTAAGTTCACTTAAGCGGGAGCGCCTATTTCTCCTCCCGAACAAGAGAACAAGATCGGTTCTGGGGAGGTCCGGGGAAAAAGCATGAGAGTGAGGTAAACATGGGGCTACTATTGTGTCAACTGTTCATTTAGGAATTAGGCACAGGCACTTCATCCCTTGGTCTTCGTCTTAATGCTTATATTTAGCATGAGTCCATGTATCATCCCCATTGCTATTTCGACGAGTTAGGTTTCATGGAAACTCATACTCAGCGTTTGGCATTCTGAGATGTGAGTTTCCATTCCTAGAAATTGTTAATGGGTTAGGTATCTGTAAGCTGCTTGCCGATCCCAAACGCCAGCGTTGTTAAAAGGTACTGACCCGGATATTTTGATGATGAATACTTTTAAGATGCGATGCAAATGATGTCTACAGTATCACGAGCAAGAGCTATCTTCCCTCTCGTATTCTAAATCAACCTCCGTCCCCAAATCCTATCCAGTTTCTTCGAGGATAATTATTTGGCGATTTGTGGTGAATCCATGCTATGTGATGGATATGACAAACTTTATTTTTAATCAGTCTATTCCTATGAATCGAAGTGCTTATGAAAGTCTCAAATCTGAGTGAGCAAAATGCAGCGATCTTGGTGCTTACTTCATGTATGTTTCATTTCCAAACCCGTTATATGCGGGAGTGATTTCCAAAGGGAAATGATTTCCAAGTAAGCACGAGGGGAATGAGAGGAGAGGAAAATGAGCTTCCGCTGTTAGTGATTCACAAATTGGCCATAGTGTTGAATGGACAATCGCATGTCTGTTAGAACGTTTTCGCTTATCTAATGTAGGGCATGTCTGCGAGTGATATTGAATGATTACGAAACCTCACTTTGTACCTTTCGCAAGAATAAACCGCGAGTATATTTTCTCATGCCGCCCTATCACTTGGGCCTTCGCTAACCTTCATGGTAAGGACTTTTGAAATAATTCGGTCCCCTCACTGATGAAAATTAATTCCGCCCCTTTAAACCCCAAGGGTGTGAAAATTGTATCATTTTTGGGCTTGAAACCTACCCAAGGACCAGAAAAGCCTGCTGATGCGACACGTGTATAGCGTTATCTAGCATCCGTCCAATGGAAGTTACTTGAAGCGTCATATGTATCTGATATTCTTACGATAAAGACTATTGCGAACTCAAATAGAAAGTTTGCATTTCGTCATAAGGCTTATGTTGAAAAAACAAGAGAATATATTATTAATACAAATGTAAGATGTTCGTGTGTATACTATAATTAAAATAATGGGAAATGCTTGAAAGAATTTACCTTCTGGAGTGAACCCGTCCGAAGTAACTTCAGCATCCTCGTCTGACTCCGAGGTGGAAAGCACTTCTTCCTCCTCGCTGTTCATATTGATGCCTTCAAGAGAAGTCCTATACTGCTCGAACTTGTGAGAACTTGCAATGTGAGTGCCTGTGCCTGAATATTGATTAGATAAGGCAACGGTAGGATTCCACGGCTTCGCATCAGTTGCATGCGGAAAGCAGGATTTACAAGCAAGAGCTACAGAAGGTTGCTTACTGCGCATACTTTGCTATGGGGGGAACCCACCAGTACGAGGAGGCCTGGAGCTATATCCATTGACAGTCACTTGCTCGTGAGCACTCCCCCCCACGACCTACAACCCCAAAAAATACATTCTCTCACCAAAGCTAACACGACTGTTCTTACTCCCTCTTTCTTGAATGCACCTCATTCCTATGATTCGAACTTTATTAACACCTCAAGGGCTTTTGATAGCACATACCATCCCCCTCACACCGGACCTTACCTCCCGACACGTCCTAATCTCCTGCCTGAGCCTAGTCATCGCTGAAGTCATTGGCAGACTCGGATGAATCTTTTGTCTAAGCATGAGAACGTTCGACTCCTCCTCGTGTGGATTTTTTGACAGAATACACAAGAATCAATCTAATCGGGCATTCATGGATATACTCTTTCTTGGTCGATTTTACAGGAAAGCATAACACGCGAAATCGTCCACAGATCGTCGATCTACAAACATGAATTTACTGCCTGTAAATATTTTTCTAACAGGATTTGAGCCAAAAAGAGCGTCGCAGGGGCCCCGAATTTTTGCGCCTCGAACGTATACTTTCATTGAATCCAGAGAAGTAAAATATGTCAAAGGTGTCAAAGGTGAACCGTATCCCTTGTTCCCTAAGACCTGGAAGAGTCGATGGGCAGAGCCAAAAAGCATATGCATGTGACGCATGGATGATGAAAATATCCACGTAGTCGCTGCATTACGGTATGTCACACATTTATGAAACTTTTCATTGTAAGTAAATGTGCTGGTTTCATGGGTATGGAATGCATTTCATCAGACTGTTGCAAGAACCTATAAAAAAAAAGAATTATCCAACCCTGTTACATTAACTTCCTGGAATTCTCGAATTTGAGACCGAGACTAAGAGAAAGAAACAACAGGAACAAAAAAATTTAATCCACTGCAAAGATGGGTAGTGAAAACGAGACTGGTTTTAAGCATAAATCTTTCAAATTCAAGGGAAGCCACTTACCCAAGTGAAGATTGTGCGAGAAACTCCGACCCGTAGAAACGTGGTATTTACCCTCTGAATTGATTTCTCTAAGTTAGGCGTTGAATTCTCGAATATTAGGCATTATCTCCCCCTTTTTTAGTCTTGACGCGCGCTAATATTGAATAGAGTACTCTAATTAGTGTTGTTAGTCCGCGGAAGGGTCCTTCTGAGGCTATACCTTCTTTAACTGCATCAAAACTCGAGTTTAGCATTTGAACAAAGCAATTTATTCTGTCCAGCGAGGGAGTTACGTGCCTGGCATCACCCCCTGTTTTATCTCCCGCGCAGGAGGAAAGTTAAACGCACCTTCACAGGCCGGTTAACGTACTGCCATTCTCGAAAGAGATACGGAAGAGATATCAACTTCCGAGTCATTTGGTGGGCTTTGAAGTGAGGTAGGCAAATTTGCCGTGTGTCTTCGGACCCTCTAGCCAGAAGTACCCGGAGTCTCCTTCTGCCGGATTACCTCCTTCTAAGGGTCTATCGAGGAATTCCAAAGCTTTCTCTAAAGTTGCACGTGGGAACATATCGCGTACTGAACGAAAAACCCCAGGTAACTATACATTTTAGGCATCAGGGTTAGGACCGCTAAATTGGCGATTAGGCATCATCTCGCGACAATTGCTGGAGCCTATTTTCCGTCGAGATGATGTGGATATCTCCATTTCGAAGCAATATTGAGACCGTGACGAAAGAAAATGTGAAAAAAGAATTTGTACCTAATAGCTTCTAAAAGACTTCGGCAATGCAGTCTCAATGCGTTGAAGTTTCGGTTCACCACGAACAGCTTGCATTTAATTGATTTTTTTGTATTCTTCCTTAAATTCTCAAATTCAACCATATCTCAGTACTTGAACTTTTTGCCAAAGCCTACAATGGATCCTTGAAATAGTATGACTTTCACGCGCGATTCACTGTCTCCTACGATCATCGGGGCGAGAGTATTTTCCAGTTATTTCTGTCGACGTATTTGTGGCATGACAAAGGAATAATTTGCTTCAGGAAAAACACTTGAAAATGTAGGTTAAGAAAGGCGAATACGTCCGTGAATGCCCAGAGAGACAAAACTAATGCGTACTCAAGCAGACATGAACGTGCACAACATACGCATGACACTTAGCAATGCTTTCACAAGGATGTGTAAAACATGGATTCAATGTTGCTGCGATGTAAAAATGAAAGACGTTTCAATGTTGAAAAAAAGGATCATGTGCCAATTGTCACTTGTCATGGTTCAGCTATTACCTTCTCCATTTTTTAGCCTAAGTGGGCACTAATATTGATTGGAACTTGAAATTGCTCTAATTAGTGCAATAATATCACGGAAGGGTCCATCCGAATAACTTCATTAACTGAATCAGAAATGGAGTTTAGTACTTGAATACTCATTTCTTCAATACTGTCTCAACGTTTCATCTTTTGTCAATGTTGACAACGTTGTTGAGCAGAATGAGGAGAACATCCGTGGCACCCAAGCCTACAATGGGTCTAGGTTAAGCAGCTCATTCAGCCTTGCCTAGTCCCACATGTTGTGGTGGGATCTTTCCTTCTTTTCTCCTTATCTGTTCCGTGAGGAAGAGTCAGCAAGAACCTTAATAAAACGTGTGCTAATGCCGATAGACGATATTATAATATTCCTACGGGTGATGAGAAACACGAACACTTCTCAGTTCAACTAAGAAATTTGAACTTTGATGAGAAGTCAAGCCTAGAAAACTTGTGCCGTACGGTAGCAGTTATCTAGACTATAGAGAGATGGCGCCAGTGCACCCTCAACTCAGATTTATCACAGCAGGCTCAAATGTTAACAGTTTTGCGAAATAAAAACGAATTCTAACAGCAAATTCATGCCTTTCGAATGATGTGTCGCACAGGAATCTGGCTTCAAAATTAATATAAAAGGTCATCGTGGTCAGGTCAAAGGTCATCTCAGAAAAAAATATGAACTGAGTTGGACAATTAGCAGGAAATTACGAATCGAAAGGAGGTATTTATGGCGGAAATCGGTTGAGAAACCTAGGAGGAGTTAACCGGACGAAATCCAGTCATTCAAACATTTGCCCGTCGTTATGTATACAGATTGATAGACAATAGCAAAATTATATAGGTATATAGTAAAAACTAAAAAGAATTGGTGGAAATATATGAGTGCGGAGCATTATGGGGATAGCTCTTTGGGGGAATACGTCATGATGACCGAAGGCACGGGTAGGTTGGCAAGTGATGACGAAAGAAAACCAGAGGACGACCGGGACTTGAACCTGGGGCCCCTTGATTTTCTGGTTAAGTGAGTTACCACTGCACCATCAAATGCGGGACATTTGCCTCTACCTCTCACTGTGCCAATCACCACACATACGGCTTCCTGTTCCTACGTAAACGGACACTCGCCCTCCGTTCAATGTTGCTACCACATGTTGAACGTACGCGCGCACGCCAGTTCATGCTTGCATCTCT